TGGCGTCGGTGTATACACTCGCTGTCTTCCCTTAAACTAAGAGATTAAAATCGCTTCATATCTTTCGTTCTACAGACTAATTCTTTCTTCCTGTATTATATCCTTATTGCAATCTTTCCTTTATATATTAGCACCTCTGAATTAACTACTTTTATGAATCCGATGTCCATCTTGTTGTGTTAATGAGGTATGGCAACTTGGACCGATGCTGCTGCCTTGACGCGGTGGTCGGGCTTGCCTATCGTGATGACCCAACCGAGCTATATTGGCTGGAACATATGTTCCTGTAGGTTCTACCATGCCAGGCAGGTCGATTGATGAACGGTAAGACTAAAAGCAGCAACTCAAGGTTTGAGGGCGAAGTCGTACTGCTGACTGTAGAGAGGTGTGACAGCAGTAAGGTGTTTCCCTCAGACAACCAGCATGACAGCGATGCTGCCTTCCCACAAGGAGGGGTGGGGTTAGAAAAGGTCGATCCTAAAAATGTCACACCCCACCTTACCTCACGGATTTCCGTCTCCGGCGGTAAAGCCCTTTGTAGAACGGAGCTAACACATCAAAAACCTTCCACAAAAAGGCCGTGCGCGACCGGCCTCAAGCAGTTGTCCCTTGGGCTCTGCTGTCACGCTCCCAGGTCGTCAAGACCAACACTAATCCAATTTCCTTTTCAGGTTCCTCAAGAAATACCCTTCCACGGTGTGGGCAGCCGGGAAGTGATATCAGCCCTCATACCCGTAACAGCACACGAGACCAAGTTGGTCACATTCAAATCCTTCCTACACCTCCTAATACCTCTCTTATCTCCATGACTAAACCTCCTCACATCTCTTTATCACCTCGCACCGCTAGGGCAAACGATTCGAGTACGTGGAACGCTATTCCTGGTCTCCTGAAACCGCTCTAAACTACACGTAGGAGCTTTTAACGTCCGAACACTGTGCCAAATAGGACAACAGGCTTCCTTAGCTAGAACTTTAGAATCTCGCGCCATCGATGTGTGCTGCGTCTCCGAAACGCGCATACAAGATCCGAGTAGCGTCATTCAGTTGACCTCACCATGCCAAAATAAAGAACCGACTCGATTCACACTTCGTGCATCTGGAAGCCCTGATTCTGCTTCGCGTGGCCTCGCCGGCGTAGGTATAGCATTGAGTCCCAGAGCAGAACTAGCTCTCTTATAGTGGATCGCAGTAGACAGCCGTTTGTGCGCTGTCCGACTGAACGGGACAGTAAGAATCCGGAAAGATAGGGACACCCGTCGTTGCCTCTTCGTCGTCTTTGCCTGTTCTCCCACTGACTGCAGCTCGGATGATGTAAAAGATGAGTTTTACAGAAAGCTCTCTGACCTTCACCAAAAAGCTAAGCGCTCGGATGTAGTAATAGTGGCCGGTGACTTTAATGCTCAAGTAGGTAAACTAAGCGATAGGGAAAGACATCTAGGTGGATCTTATGGTGTCGTGGCTCAAAGAACAGATAATGGCGACCGTCTGTTGCAGCTATGCTCAGATAACCGCCTGTTCCTTGCAAATACTAATTTTAAGCATGAGGAAAAACATCTTTTAACATGGCGACCCCCTAATTCGTCCCAACGTTGAACCCAAATAGATCACATCGCCATCAGCCACCGATGGAGGGGCTCGATAGAAGACTGTCGCTCATTCTGGAGCACATGCCTAGATTCAGATCATACGAGCGCGTATTTGCTTGCGTCTTACTGGACGTAGGAAAGACGCTGCAAGGAAACCTCTTAGGGACCTACTTAATGATAGTCAAGCTAATAGTATATTTCAGGAACAACTAGTAAAACAGTTAGGCAGCCATGTATGTGATGCCCACCCCGAGGCAGCATGGAATGATATCCGAAAAGCTGTGGAAACAGCAGTGATATGTGCTAGTAAGGTAAACCAGAAGGTTAGGGAGCAACACTGGATCTCAGCAGCATCTATCGCACTGATAGATGCTCGGAAACTCATTCCACCTGGCTCTGAACATAGTGAAGAGCGGAGTCAGCCTAAGCGCAAGCTGACAAGAAGTCTACGCAATGATCGCGAACAGTGGTGGGTAGCGAAAGCAAGAGAGATGGAAAAGGCAGCGGCAATAGGTAATAGCAGACAATTGTTCAGACTCGTTAAGGAAACCGGAATTAATAACCCGACCGTTAGCAAAACAATCTCAGAGAAAGATGGACATATTATTCATTCTCAATCCAGGAGATTGGATCGATGTGCAGAACACTTCAGGAATCAGTTCAACTGGCCTTCCGCCACACTTCGATTTCCCACGATCTCTAGTCAACCTGAATGGCAAGTTAATGTAGGTCCTCCGTCCCTTTACGAAGTTGAAAAAGCCATAGGAAATCTGAAACGAGGGAGAGCAGCAGGCCCTGACAGGTTTACTCCTGAGATTTTTAAGGATGGTGGTCCAGTATTAGCAATGAGATTAACCGAGGTCTTAGGTAGAATTTGGGAACTGGACGTAATCCCATCTGACTGGTCTCAATCACTGATTGTGCCAGTCTATAAGAAAGGACAAAAGTCCTCTTGTGACAATCACAGAGGAATCAGTTTGACTAATATAGTGTCTAAAATATTAGCTTCAATAATACTTCGACGCCTAACCAGAGCTCGTGAAGAACAGACTAGAGAAAATCAGGCTGGTTTTCGACCTGGACGTGGTTGTATAGACCAAATATTCACATTACGTCAGGTTCTAGAACACAGACACACGTTTAGACGCCCGACAATGGTAGTATTTCTCGACCTTAAGGCGGCATTCGACTCTATTGATCGTAGGGTTCTATGGCAGTGTTTGTCACTGAAAGGAGTACCAAAGAAGTACATTAACCTTATTCAGGCTCTCTACTCGAACACAACTGGTAGAGTGAAAGCTTATGGCGAACTGTCATCAGAATTGATTACCTCAAGTGGTGTTCGTCAGGGCTGTTCACTCTCCCCATTCTTGTTCAACTTTGTCGTCGACGTACTTTTAGAGATAACACTCTCCTCATCTAAATTTCCAGGGGTTGAACTTCTACCGGGAGGTTCACTTGTTGACTTAGAATATGCTGATGACATAGTTTTATTTGGTGAAGACGCTGACAAAATGCAGAGTCTTCTGACCACTCTAAGCAACAATGCAAGCATGTTCGGGATGCGATTCTCTCCCTCGAAATGCAAAATGTTGCTTCAGGATTGGGTTACATCGACACCCGAACTAGTGATAGGGAGTGAAGTAGTTGAGTGTGTCGACCGCTTCACTTATCTTGGAAGTCTCATCAGTCCTTGTGGTCTGGTATGTGACGAAATCTCAGCACGGATACAGAAGGCTCGACTAGCTTTTGCTAACTTGCGTCATTTATGGCGTAGGCGAGATATCCGTCTATCAACCAAAGGACGTGTTTACTGCTCAGCAGTTCGTCCCGTCCTACTTTATGGCAGTGAAACATGGCCGGTAAGAGTAGAGGATATTCGTAGGTTACTAGTATTTGATCATAGGTGTCTTCGAAATATTGCTCGTATATCATGGGACCATCGAGTAAGTAATGCAGTTGTTAGGAAACGGGTACTAGGTAAGGATGGCAAATCCATTGATGAAGTGGTGAAACTTCATCAGTTGAGATGGCTGGGACACGTGTTCGGATGCCCAACGACCGACTGCCTCGACGTGTGATGTTCAGTGGTATAGGAGTAGGTTGGAAGAAAGCTAGGGGCGGCCAGACCAAAACATGGCACAAGTCCATGAAGTCACTGACAAGTGGACTGAGTCATGTTGGTAGGTGTAGACTACCTGGTTGGGGACCGCGAGGTGATAGCAACCGATGGTTAGAGACCTTGAATGACATGGCTCAAAATCGTTTGCAATGGCGCAGGTGCATCCACTCTTTGTGTTCTCCCAAATTCTAATCTTCTGAATTCTTCATGTCCCTTTTTTCCTCCTTCCAAATTTATTTCACTGAATTGTACTCTTTAAATAACATCTCCAAACCCTAATCTTCCCGATCACTGCTTACACTCTTGCTACGTCTACCACTACGGGATTTGGATCGACAACTGCATCTCTGTTAAGGTGGTGTGGCAACTCGAACTGACGTACGTACGTACGAAGTTCTACGTTGTTACTGACTGACTGAGACAGTAATTGAGGGTTCTAACTCGGAAGTGATTATAAACACTCTCTGTACATTTTTAAAACTTTCATTAAATCTATGTAACAAATAAGTATGTTAAAAGTAATTTTTAAGAAATATATTAGTTTTTGTTTGTTTGTTAATTTCCTGTTTATCGATCGTAATGTAATTCCCGTCCCTGTTTGTGTGTGGGTCACAAAATCCAATCTTATAGAAATAGAATACGTTTTTATGGTTTTGTGCTGCGTCATAAACTTGCGGGCCGAAACACGATAAGAATAGGGATTGGTTGTGTTCAAAACTGATTTTTTTGATCTTTAAGATAGGCGTGTTTTACAACACTGAATTCAATGTGTATTTTAACATCCCTGGGTTCGCTTTGTCTGATAATTATGAGGCTATAATTGTTTCGCTAGTCAGTAGGATCGAGTGTATCAAATAGGCGACTGCAAGTTCACTCCTTTTTTCAGATACAAGACGTGTAAGTACTAATTAAGTGTGATAATATAACATTTTACTAAACTACTTTTGGACGACAATTGCATAGCATCATTTCTGAAATCTTACTACTTTGTGATTGTGATGCGTATTCTCCTAATTAAATAATGACCTGCCCAACTCTTGGCAACTCTGTGAAAGGTACTCATAAAATTAAAATAATACTCAAAAATTAAAGCCGATGGTGTTTTATTTTCCTAACTTCAGATAGCTGTACCTCGCTAAATTACAAATTATAGATTTGGTGTGTCTGTATGGAAATCCCAAAGGCTGAAATAACGTTTCTAATTTTTGTTGTATCTCTTTATTGTGAATCATTTTAAAAGATCTAAAACTTAGTATTCTCGATCTCCACCTAAAACTTGGCGCATTTTAGGAATTACATGAACGACAGTCTTCGAACTGATATATTTGTACGTTATCTTCCGGAAGCAATTGCATGTGGTTGCATTTACCTGGCATCATGTAAGCTCAATATTCCTCTGCCACGCCATCCAGCTTGGTGGGAAATGTTCAGTGTGAGCGAAGAATCTGTGCACGAAATCGCTTTATGTTTGTTGCGTTTATATGCTCGTCCAAAGGTAGATGTTGGGAAACTCGAATCAGTTCTAGCTCAACTCAGGAAATCTCAGGCAGAAGCAAAGGAACGAGAAAACGAGCTCAAAAAACAACAAACCGTTACAACACCCCCAAGTACCCGGTCCGACCACAGTTTCGGTTATATCTCACCCCCAAATCATTTATCCAAATCTAAGAATCAAAACAAGCCTAATGGGAATAAGAAGTCAGTAGAGAGTAAAGCTGAGCCTGAAGATACTACTACTGTTTTCGCTCCAAACTCGCTTTTAGCAAGCGCCTTAGCTAATGCCAAAGCAGTCGCAGCAACGATTACAGCATCAAAATCTGGTATGATCACAGACGAGTTGTCCAAAGTGGGTACTGACCCGTCGATTGTTCCACATATACGCGAACCAAGTGAAGATGTTTCACCAAGATCTCCAAAAACACTGGTTGAACCTCATCAGATAGATAATATATCTGAAGTTTCGAATAAGAAGCCTGATAGGTAAGCTTCTATTCAATAAATATTTGTTAAATGTTTGTAAGTTGTCGCTCAACAAGTATTTCCAGCCTATGCCACCTAATGATGTCAGTCTGATACGTCTGTCATTTCATGAGTACATGTGTATATTTTTGGTTACTTAACTCAGCCATTGGGGTCGAATCATCATTTTACATTTTATGACTCAGCTTCATACACGAATCTTTATGCTTTCTGACGTTGCTGCACATTTGATCACATAATTACGCGCGTTGCTTAACTACACATCTTTGATAGTATTCGGATATTGGCCGTTGAGAATTTTCTGGTAGGCCTGTTCTGTGTTTGTAAACCTGCCATAAATACTGGATGAACCATATATTGTGGAGGACATAAAACTTAAGCTTGTCAGTCTGCTCCTTGTTAGCCTACAGAATAGTTTATAATCTTTGATTACTAATAAGTTCGCTAAACTACTTTTTCTATTAAATCATATCATTTTCCTGGATGGCGCTAGATTTGTCTGCAGACCAATTCTTTAACGGCTTATGGGCCTGAAAACCATTTACCTAATTTTTAACAGATAGGAAATATTTTATGGATTTATCATATCTAGCCGTCATTAACCCATAAAATTTTTCAGTCTGAGATGTCATATAAACTAGCAGTTAATGTTAGTTTACACAATCTTCAAGCCACGATTTTTGTAGAAAGGCTTGTGATGCTACTTAACAGCCCGGATTCAAGTGAACCTGAAATTAAATCTGGTACCTGTTCGTGAAAGTGGGGTGTACTAAGTTTAAGTCTTCGTGGTTGTCACAATGGGTATTTGTAGAACATAAATTTTCAGCCAGTAATATATGGCTAAAATATTTTGGTTTAGTAAAATAAGCTATTATTACTTTCTTGAAGTCAATTGCTCTCGGTTTGCCTATTATTTTGTGAAAATTTCAGCTTTCAGTTTCACAAGTTTAATTTCGTTTCTTACAACTTCTTTATCGAAATATATATTATATATACTGCCAACAATGAAGTTGTCATTCTTGGTTGTAGGTTACATCCGTTGTTATTGTTGCATTCAACATCTTGAATTACTCATATAGACAAGAGTTATCAACTTTGTTTCGTACAAAAGTTAATAGTGTCTAGTTCGAAAATTTACGTGGTGGGAACAGGATTTATAAAGAATAATATTGCTGAGGTTCTCTTGCTGTAAGCAATAGTGGCTCAAAAACCCACGCAAATCAACTTGTTGGTCAGCCCTAGCTGAAGAGCCCCCAAACGCCCTGATATGGTCTAGGGTGGTGAGAGTCAGCTCTCCCTCTCGAAATGCTCTCACATGGCCACGCGTATACAGGCACTGCTTTCTCGTGACGGAAATGTTGTTTACGAAGTTGGGAGAACAAAGAACGAATGTTTGGCGCCTTAATTGGAGGATCCACCTGGGGAAGTTGGAAAACCCTGACTCCAAACCAACTGTCCACATGGGCCCCAGGATTCTGAGGAACAAATGGCGTATAAACCAATCGTTGATCACCGGCCACCATGGGACTGCATTCCTTGACGTTGCCCCACTGCCTTGTGGATCTGACCTTTATCTCGAATGCTCGGGGTGTAACCCCTTAAGAAAACTGTCTGTTTCGTTTTGGGCACCCGGGCAGTATTCCAGCCCATACACAAGTCGAATGATTTGTGTAACGCATATATATTTGGTGCATCGTACCAATGTTTACGTGTTTAAATAATAACTGAAGAAGCTGAACTTATGTATCTGTATGCTGTATGTATTAAAACTGAAAGTTATTTTGCAAGCTTATAAATGTGAAAGATTGTGCTGGCTTGAGTCATTGCCCCATGTTATTTGTTTGGATTATACTGAAACGTTTTTGCCATAGGTGAGAAATGAGTGTTATTGGTTTTAAGATGAAATTTTTTTTTTTTACTGCTTCATTGTTGAGTACTTTTAAATTACTTATTAAATTATTTAGAACTGCACAGGAAAACTCTGAGACCAAACGACGACCAATTATTCGACCAGCTGCCTACTCAAATATTCCATCTACTAACACGGAATCCGACAAAAGACGTCGACATCATCGACACAAATATTCATCTAAAAAGCATCATTACAATTCGATCTCCTCATCATCTTCGTCATCTGACCGAGAAACCGATCAAAACCGTTATAATTCAATAAACTTACTGACAAATAACTCCAAATCTCGTAATTATCGACAAAAATTAAATGATATATCATCCTCTGGCTCTGAAACAGGTGATAGTTCATCAAGTCCTAACAAACACATAGTCAATGTGCATGATCGCAGAAAAATCTACAATAATAAACGTAAACATATTCCACGCTCTTCATCAGAGGATTCCCAAACATCTTCTTTCAGTGATGAACCGCGTTTTTCCCCAACTCATCATAATCCGGTAAAATCTAAAAGCGGTCGCCGTCATTTATCACCGCCCTATGCCTACCGAATCGATTATGATAAGTCACATAAAAGCAAACATCATTCATCATTGCGATCTGCACCAAACGGTGAAAGTGGTCGTATATTGCGTGAGCACTCTAACCATCGTCTAGTTTCGAGTCGACATCATGATCATCACCGAAGGTAAATTGTACATATGAATGATTTAATTTTACTCTGTACAAAAATTTTATGAGTATTAACTTTTTTCACTGGTTGCCTGTATGGTATGATTGATAGATTATTTACCAGATTGCAATAAATTATTTGCACTATCCTATCGTTTTGTGGTGTTTTACGTGTTTCCAGTTCTTGTTTAAAAAATGCCATTCTTGAGGAACTTTATTACTTTTGGCAAGAAAATTTTACAAAATGTTTTAACATTGGACACTTATTTTTCTTACTCTGCTAGTCGAAGTTTCAAATTGAATCCACTGTACTTTTCTTTAATTGATTCCGATAATGTATCAAGTATTGATTGATATGCTTTTCTCCAACTACCATCGGATGGATGCGCAAGTCTTGTTATAAGTCTATCAAGGAGTATAAGTACTGAGCGAATTCGCTCCAAATTTGTATTCACCAGAGATGAAAGGTAATCGGTCAAAATTTGTATATCTTCGTTTTGGGGCACTGAAAATTAAAAAACAACGTTTCTTATTGATCAGTGATGTAATAAATGCTATTACTAATATATATATCCCTACTCGTCTTTTATTGTTTCGACTTTCAGTGTACTTTTTCTGTATTTAGAGAGTAAAGTTGACCGTCGGTATAGAGATTCGTCGTTTCACGGTCGGTGTAGCGGTATTACTTGTGCTGAGTTAATGATTGCGCCTAGTATAACTTGTGTAAAGATCATTTCCAACGATGTGTTGCTACTTGAGTAATTTATTACTGAACTGGGTATCGATCAAAAGTAACTGTCCCTATACGTTTTTATTAAACACTAATTTGTACCTACCTGATTCACTAGTTATCCAATCACCAAAAATTTGTTGAAGTTCTGTCAATGTTTTATTGGTGAACAAGCCACTCGGGTCTTCCATTGCCTGTGTTAAACAACCGAGTTGTGGTATTTCAGGTTTTATGGAGTTCATGGGAGTAGGTACACTTATGTGTTTTGAAATGGATTTACAATTCGTCTTTTGAAGTCGTGCATTCTTGACTACCGATAATTTTCCTCCCTTACATACGCGCTTTTTCTGCAACTTTCTGCCATTTACTGATATGTTTCTTTGTTTTACTGGAGTTGTGATGGGCATATAGTTTGAACTACATGACTAGAAAAGATTTAAAATGATTATACCCTGTTAAATCATAACTCTTAGAAATGGCTTTAAAAAAATTCAAAAGTTGATATCAATGGTAAAAATAGCGACGCATTAAATGTAGTTCTTAAGCAATCCTCTATAATTTCTGTCTTTTTTCTTATTAGGCACATATACCGTACAAGTGTTTTATCTGGTTGATTGTCACAGCTAACCTATGACACCTCAATGTTAAATAAAGTGATGCTTTTAATGGATAAACGTTTATCCTGTCAATTGCCAAGCAATTTTACGTTTTGGTACTTACTGGCACATTTTTCTGTATTTCGAGTACTTCGATGGTATTATGTCTGTCTTCTAAGTGTCCCAATCGGTTACAATCGTTTGAAATATCCTTCTCAACATCCGTGATGTTTAGTTCTTGACGACGTTGGTCTTCATTGTCGGTCACACTAAAAGTTGTAGATAAACAAAAATAACATGCAAGTTATACGTCAACAAGGCTCTTAAAGAGAAGCATGTGACCTAAACTTATCGTTCAGGTATTTCGTGTTGGCGTAGACCAAGGTCAGTGGCTATGGGCTTCCTTTCAACTGTATCTATACTGGTCCGGTAAAAATAACTAGTAAAAAAATATGTACGTCTAATACTAATCTATAGATATACTGATAATCACGTCCAGCTATTTTGGTAACAGTAACTTCCTCTTAGTACAATCCCATGTACTACCACGACTACTACTACTACGTGGCATCTTCGACACGATGAATGTTTGCTTGACCTCACTTTACAACTTATGTTAACTGTCTATGTAAATACTGCAATTGTAAACTGACCATTAAAACTGACATGGATAAAGCAAATTTTTGAATTTTAGAAAAAGGAGATACAACATAGTGCTGGATTTTAAGCCACATTTTGTATGATGCTAATTATACTACTTAGATGCGCAAACTGAATGGCCATCATTTCATTAGTTAATGGCTATGTCTGAAAACATTGAAGCTAAATCTTTACATATATTCAAGGTACTCAACGCAAATTGTAAATGTGAATAAGTTAAAGGGGTCGTAGAGCTGTACGACGTAGTGCACGTTGGTCAATAGTTTAATTAAACTTTCGGCCGTCACTTAAACTTTTTCGGGTTTTTCTATACCGTTACGATTTTCAGAGACGGTACTGGCAAAAAGCGTCCTAATCAAAGTTATTACCTTTAGTATAAGGTAATTTGGTTCACAACCAAATAATTTGCATTTAGTTGTATCTGCGATCATATTACTTAATCTCTGAATTTAGTTTAAAATAAACTGTACCACATTATTACTAAACAAGTTTCGTTTCCACGTATCTAGACTAAATCGAATGTAACAAATATAATCAACTTTGATGGATTTCAGGTAAATGTAGGATGACTCATTTCTATATAACTGTAATAACAGTAGGTTGTAAAACAATAATACCAACCTAATATGCGGACATTGGGACTTCACCAAGTTGTTTGTTTTTGGCAAACGAAGTGACTGGTCATTTTCTTTGACGGTTTGATCGTTGCTACATGGATTCATAATCTTCATACAATTAACCCTTGAGCCTCCGTACTGTAGCTGATGAACTTGCAATCCTATCTATACAGAAAACATATTAAACTATATTTATCAAAACATTGAGAATAAATTGACACATTGTTTACTGTGTATGCAAAGTATTCCTAAAAATTGACATGCATGGTAAATGTAAGTAGATTTTTATAAATTACAAACATCTAATGATAACTTGTGTGTCCTGATAGGACTTTGTAGTCAAATATGTAGGGAATGGAAATATTCAAAACTACAGTTCATGAAATCTTTTTTTATGACAAAAATTTGTAACAAAGCTATTTGTCATTCAAAAAATTCCCAAGGTAACTTACAACTTTATTAGGGTGACTTCTGGTTACATATTTTTGGCTTTTACCAATTTCGGTCAATAAATTTTTGGATTTAAAACTTTGACCTCATAGCACGCTTATATGAGGGCTCAATTATAAATATACGAGAACGACAAGATTGTCAGTACAGATCCCTTTGAAGTATTCCGCTTTATTTGTACTCTTCGGTTAAAGAACGACTTTGCCTTTTTTTGTTTTGTCACCAACGATCCTTTAAATAAATTTAACGTTGATATAGTTTTAAGCGTAATTGAAGTATTAGATGTAGCATACTTCCTACTACTTTGTTAAGGATATGGTGATTTTATTTCGGCTTGCGCTGGTTATGCAATAGAAAAATGTTTCTTACTCTCCACCATTGTGTTTGTATATATCCTGTCAACTCTATGTGTGCTGGGCGTTGAGTGGTGATCCACGAAATGTCGACATCCTGATTCATGACAACACGAGCTACACTAACAAGTTGAGTAAAGAGCAAAACCTATTTTATTTATTATCTTGTAATTTTGTGAATTCGATTCTAAAATTTGAGATATTTTTCAGTCTGTTTTCACTGAGGGAATCATCAATTTGGGGAACTCATTCCCATCTTTTATTCGGACTGCTTGTCCTGTTCATAAATCGTGAAGATGGATATCTGCAGATCCGTCCCCAAAATCTTGGTGAGTAAATACCACTTGCTATTGCTTTGTATACTGATTAATAATCCCTAATATCTTGTCCTACACAAAATGTTGATCGAATTAGGAAGCTGAAATAAAGTTACTATGTCAAATTAAACACTAGTCACAATCTCCATATTTCTAAAATTATAATGATTCTTTATGTATAAATAGATAACTAGTAGAACTAATTTGAAATTTCTTGGAGCTTTAGTAAGAATTCTATAAAATTCTCATCCTACTTTCTATTGGCTACCGTTTAACTCTTAGAAGTAAAATTTTGATCGGTTCCAAAAAATGCAGAGAACAGAATTATGTACCCAATATTATTTTTCGAACTGTCGATTCTGTACATGTGTCTTTCAAATGGTAATTGTTTCATTTCTTCACTGATTTAAATCTGAAACTTCCCCTTTTTCATTGACAGAAGTATTAGATTGAGATTACAGACTATATTCATAAATAATTATCCTTATAAAAGTTTTATGGAGAATTGCCTAGTATTCCTAAATAGCAAGCCTTTTTAAAAATTATTTTCCCTGGGAAGATTCGAAGAATTGTATTTCTATTTTATTCGTTATCAAGTAATTCAGGATTTTTACGTCCTAAAATTTAAATCAAGTTACGAGAATAGTCCAACACGTAACGTTTTGTTCGTTGCATACGCTTATCACGTCAACTTATGTTAAAAGTCCTGATCTCCAAATGGTGAAATAAGTGTGGACGATTGATTTTCTCGGTGTTTCGTTTCGGAGTTTAAAATAAGTAGTCCACAATATTTAATAAATTGTTTAGTTACCAAACAGACAGGCGTCATTACACGAATTGGAGAGACTTCCTTTCTTTCACTCAGTAAACATTAGGATAAAAGATACGTTCGTGTTTTAATTGCATTATGGATAGGAAACATCTCATAATAACTAAAGCAATCTGAAACGTTGGCACTATATTCATGAATGTTACTTAAATTTAAGGATGGTCATTAATTTCAGTGCTGTAAATCAAAGTTCTTGTATAGTTTCTTTCCATTTGCTTTGATGGTCCTGTAATTCAAGTAAGAACACTCAGCGAGTTGGCTGATAAATACTTAGACTTTTTCGTTAGGTAACCGATTGTCTTGAAATTAATCTCCGAAAACAATTTAAGGTAAAGTTTCTCCTTCATGCTGTAATGGTCGACTTTTTTCTGGTCTGCTTTGTTAGTATCAAAATTGCATGGATTGTGAAATCTGTTTTGGCTTGGGATAATAATGTGTTATGAGGTAAACTTCGCAATTTAGACAAAC